TCATCATTTTTTCATCACTGTGTGTTAGATTCATTTTTGGCATTATAAGGGCGAGTAAGAGATAGCCCACCATTGTGAAGGTTATCTATTCATTGCCACAGTGTTGTACATGGGTGACGGCCACTCACAGCTGAAGGGACCACAATGTCTTCGGTATGTGTTAATGATCATTGATTTGATTCATGTGCAATTTATAATCAGTTAATGAGCAGATTTTAGGCTTTCCTTCCCAGGCACGCCTCTTTTGCATATTTCTTTTTCTTCGGTTCCGAGTCGACAATAGCGTCCCACGTCCTGGTTGCCATGGAGACCTCTCCGTGAATCGCATTGAGTGGTGGAGGGTGCGGTTGCCGGTACCACGGACTTTGAACCGGTGGAGCTGCTGTAGAGAAATATTTTGCGTTTTTTGTGTGGTTAGGCCCACTATTCCACTTTTAACTATAAAACAGGGGGAAGAAGTGGAAGAGGGTGACGGGGACTGTCTGGTGTGTAAGCGGGGTGCAACATTCCTAGTGGTGTGTTTACAGTGAACAGTGTCCACGTAAAAGTGGGTGGGGGGGGGGGGGCCCACAAAAAAGAGGTATGTGGTACAGTTTTTGTATTGTCTACACAACTAATTATGTTTTCATCTCTGGTTATTTTGTCCTTTTTGTTCCACTACTGAATTTTTCCGTAGTGTCTGTGTACTGAGTTATAGACTACTGCACACACATACACATACCAGCAGTGATTGTTTTTAGTGATGAGAGAGGAGGAGAACCCAAGAGTAGGAGACGTGACTTGAGACTCCGAGGGAGAGACGGGGTGAGGGGAGGAGGAAGAGGGAGGAATGTGCTCCGTAGAGGAGGGAGGGAGGGAGGTGAGGGAGGTAAGGGTGGTGGGAGAGGGAGGGGGTGGCTGGGTCGTTGGAGAGCCGTCTCTTCTTGCTAGGCAGGATGGTGGTCTGGACCATGTTACGGAACTTGCCAACAGTTGGGTCTATGTCCTCTGGAGACACAGAGAGAGAAAAAGAGAGACACATTAAGTTCTTCAATCAAGTTTAAGCAACACATGGTGTACAATATTAAATGGAGGGTTATCCACGTAGCAAGTGCCCAAAATGACATCCCCAGTTCCTCTATATTATTTCCCAAAGCCCACGCTCAAAACAAGTTTGGAAAAAGCACAAACACCAGCTGATAATCAGAGGTACTTACGCGAAGACTGGATGGAGGTACCAGACTTGCTCGGGGATCTGTCGAGGAATCTGATTGGTCCTCACCGGATGTTCGTACGGCTGTTTCCGGAACCCGAAATAGGAACCTCCGAAGACGAGGGGGAAGGATATTCCAAACCACATGCACAGCAGAGCCAGCATGGTGGTGAATGGTACCTGCAGGGAGAGGTCATGTGATTAGTCATGTGATCTACTGCATCTATTCTACATACGAGAGTCACATGACTAAAACAATATCATCAGTAATACTCACTGCTCCAGAGAGCATATCACGTGACAGTCACATGACTAAAAGTTACATCATCACTCACGGCTCCGGAGGAGTGTTCTCCCCAGATGAAGAAGTTAAGGAAGAAGCCCATGCCAAAGAAGGTGGAGGGATAGAGAGTGGCCGTCAGAAGAGCTCCCTTCTTCCAGTCGGAGCCTTTCAGGGTCTTGTACAGTCTGGCAGCGTGGTAGCTTGCAGCCGCTCTGTGGCGGAGAGAGAGATGGAGGGAGGAGAGAGATGGAGGGAGAGGCGAGTCATCTGTAGTGTTATGGAGCGAGATTATGGGAGGTTTTCGTGACTCATCGAGTGGAAAATTAGAGGAACCAGATACCGGAATAAGCTCAGTGCAAGAAAATGAGGAGTTCAAAACTATAGTTTTATGTACTAAAGAGAGTGAATATTGAGACAGAAAGAGAGGAGAGAAGAGTGAGTCAATTCTCACCCCATGAACATGAAGAGAACAATGGCGGCTGTCATTAGAGCTCCTCGACTGGCTGGAGACAACATTCCAAACATTGCAAACACTGCAACAGAACAACAAACAATGCATCAAGATGGTCAATAATGAGCTAGAGCCCTCGGGCACTTCACCTAGTGTCCTTACTGCACTCAGAGAGCTACAACACAAGATCTCTCAATTATCACCCCACACTCATACCATCCCTCCCATACCAATGATGATGAGGATCATGAAGAAGATCTGGATGCCAGATCCGAGGCAGGCCGTGAGGAGGGTGGGGTAGGACGGAGGTCTGAACACGTCTCCATGGACCAGCTTCCAGCCTGTCTCCTCCAGAGTCTCGTCCTGCGAGGGGAGAGAGGTCAGAGGTCAATGGAGGAGAGAGAGGTGAAAGGTCAATGGAGGAGAGGGAGGTAAGAAAGGTCAAGAAATCTGAGGTGAACAGTCAAGAGGAAGAAGAGCTCAGCAAACATGGTGCAACTTTGATGTGTGACACAAAAGTCTTGTGCAGCCTCAATGTATGGTTTGTGCCACATGTTGCATTAATATACAGCACTTCCTATTGCAAGGACTTCCCATACATTGGAGTTGCATTAGACGTTGTGTGTTGTTGGCTACTATAAGTCTTACTGCTTCTTCATCTTTGTTGTAGCGTGCAATGTCTCTTCTCAGAGTCCTCACTATGATGAGTGCTAGGATACCTGGGGTGGGTGGAGTAGCAGAGGAACAGATAGAGAGGTTCACTGGTCAAGGTACATCAATGATTAGCCAAAGGGTCCTTGCGTTGAGGCATTCCAGGTGCAGTGACGACCTTACGTGAAGGGCTTTAGGTTTTATACGTGCATGGATTTTTATAATCAGGACACCC